ACTGCCTGCAGGATAAAGCCCAAACTTCTTGCTGTGGTTTTCTAGAACCCTGCTAACCTCTCCAGCCTGACCTCATGCTACTCTGCCTGAATTGGGCAATTCTCGCCTCTGGGTCTCTACATTGCTTTCTTTGTTTAGACACTTTCTCTCACCTTCTCTAAAGGAACTTCTACTCAACCTTGAAGCATCAGCTCTGAGAAATCTTCTATTGGTTATCATACTTGTGCATCTTCAGCACCAAATATCTATAATAATCATAGCTACCACTTGTGCTAAGTGCTTGACATGCAGCACTTGCTGCCCTAATGTGACTCTGGCATCACTGTCATACATGTGAGAAAACATGCTAACAGGGCTAAAACTCTTTGAAAGGCTGCGTACTAGGATCTAGGATTTGAACCGTAACTCAGAGGAAGTGATGCTCTTCTAGCCTAACTACAATTAATACACACATGTGGGCAGGGACTGATTCACTTCTGTATCCTCAGCTAGCCTAGGGTCTGATACAGATCAGGTGTCCATTAGTATTTGCAGAATAAATGAACACCAGATCAGGTGAGAGGGAGACTGGGTGTGATGTGTGTATCACGGGCCTAAATGAATGAATGACTGCCAGCCTGGCCCAGCAGTAGAAGCTGGTAAGCACAAAGTGGAAGAAACCTAACTTTTACTTCTTTTATTTTCATTTGGTTTAACAGCCACTTATTGAGCACATGAGGACCGTACACACTAAATACCCCACAAATGAGTTAAATATAGCCCCTGCTCTTAAAACTTCTAGGTTCAGTATATAAAGTCGTTAGGATCTTAATAGTTTATCTGATATTAGATATTAAGATAATAGCTCTGGGGATATTTTAAGTAAATTAAAAATTAAAAAAAATCTCAGCAGCTAAGTCTTCATCTTCAAAGGCCCTTTAACATTTCTACATAGTGAATCTCTACTGGCTTACAAAGAACCAGAGGTGGTAGGGATCCACCCCTTCTTGTATCGTTTCCTACTACTTGCAGTGAAAGTGGCCAGGCTGGGTGGGCAATGATTTTAAGGGGGAAGATTCCTGGGTATAGGGACTATCTTATTTATCTTTGTGCCCAAAATAAAAGCCCTAGCACAGAGGTCATAATGCTTGCTCAGTGGATCAAACATAATGAGATGGTTTCAATAAAGATACTGACTAATCCTGTGCTCCAGTCTCTTGAGGGAGCAGGTTTAACTCTGAGCAGTGGGGAACCAGGTCTCTAGAGTCTCTTTAAACTGGGCCAGGCAGGTCTCAGCAGGTGCCGTAGAGATGAGAGATGGGAAACACCAGATGAGCTCAACCAGCACCAACTGCTGGTTTACAGTCTGGCAAGTCTCCTGAGGGTTTACTGAGTGTGCCCCTGGACTGCAGGCTGAGTGGTCCAAGAGAGATGGAAAGACAGAAGCAGAGCTGGCAGGCTTTGGATGGCCATCTGGCACAGTTCCCACTATCTCCAACTCCTGCTCTAGCCTTGATGTACTAGGTGCTAGGTGGGTTGCTCCATTTTCTTGTGATGTTGCTGATGAGGCTTAGGGAGGGGAAAAAAACATGCCCAGGAACACAAAGCTAGAAAGAGACTGAGCCTGGAGTTCACCCCAAGCCTGGAACATTAAACACTTTCTCACTATTGCCTTATTCAGCTGCTTTGTAAGGTTTTTTGTTCTTTGCTAATAAGGTAGTAACAGTTTTAGTTTAGTGAATGAGGATTTCGATTGTTAGTGAACAGATCAATAAAGTTTAGTGACCTGAAACAATTCTAAATAAGGACTTTTGGGATCCCCAATAAGCTAGCTCAAGGTCCCACATTTAAATGTGCACAAGTAATGCAGGGTGCCTGGATGGCTCAGTCGGTTGAACATCAAACTTAGGCTCAGGTCATGATCTCACCATTCGTGGGTTCGAGCCCTGTGTTAGGCTCTGTGCTGACACTCAGAGCCTGGAGGCTGTTTCAGATTCTGTCTCCCTCTCTCTCTCTGCCCTTCCCTAGCTTGTGCATGCGCATGCTCTCCCTCTCTTTCTCTCTCAAAAATAAGTAGATAAACTTAAAAAAAAAAAAAAATTAAATGTGTACAAGTAACCAAAGTGAGCGAAAGGGTCTGGATGGAACCAGAGTGGCTTTTGAACCCGAATTCAGAGTAATCATGGCTCTTCCAGCCTACCTGTGATTACTATATACATGTTCTCTGAACCACGAGCCCTTTGTGGGCAGGGACCATGTCTGATTCACTTCTGCATTCCCAGCTAGCCCAGGGCCTGGCACAGATCAGGGTGTCCTTCATATCAGGGGCAGACACTACTCAAAACTTCATATTACTGCCTTGCAGAAATTGGGCTCAGTGGCACCAGATTTTTAGAGTTTTAAGACATGGCACAAATCCAGTTTGTAGGAATCTTTTGGCTTTTAAGAAATTGGCTTAAAACAAAACCAAAGCAATATGTGACCTGGGACATTAGAACCTATCTGTGGATTGGAAGTGGTCCTATTCGCTGTCTTTGGCATGCGACAGTGAGTTTCACCTTGCTGACCCACTCTGTGTACACAGAGTTTTAAGTGGCAGTGGGAGACAGAGATCCTCACCACAGGCACGCTAGGGGGCAGAACAATGACTCCAACCCTTTCAGCAGGTGCTTCTCACCAGGTCACAAAAGTCTGCTTCTGGCATTCAGAAACCCCCTCCCCAGCAAAAAAGTGGGGTACAATCAGAAAAGAGTTTGTCAGTTTGTTTTACCTCTTTGTGGCTATAATAAAAAAAAAATGCCTTGTAAATCCCACATAGTACACAAGAGTGTCCTTTCTGGGGGGCCAGGAGGCACCTGTGACCTATAGTGGGAGTTATTTGGGCATATGTCATATGAGCATTTGTTTCTTCATCTGAAAAACAGTGTAATCGTATTTATATCCTTCAGTTCATTAATATTTGTTAATCACCAGGCATAGGGGTACAATGGCAACTGACGTGGTTCCTGCACTCTCAGAGTTTATGTAGCAAAAGTAGACTAATAATTAAACCAATAGTTAACTCATCACATTTGTACTAAATGCTGAGGAAAGAACAGGAGTGGTGGGAAGATTATTAGTATGGTATGTAAAGTGTCTGGCATGAATAAATTAATGAATTTGCAGGTCAGGCAGTGGAGTAGATAATGATGATTATAGCTCTTAGGAAAGCTGCATCCTAAATAAAAATTAAATGATTAAGCCATTATCCAAAATTTTGGCCATGAATACTATAACCTAAGTGGCAGGGGACCCTAAAATATTGCTGGTCTGAATGGGAAGGAGAGAAAACAACAGCTCCCCTGGCTCTCCCTATCCCAACTCTCTCCTTTTGTTGGACTCCCAGGGTGGCCCAGAGAAGCAAAAGAGGAAAGCTAGAGGGGGGAAGCAGGTTCAGGGTCTAAAGTCAGACCAGGCAAGGGTGGGGTCCAACCTGGGGAGTTGCATCCTTTGGAACCAGTCTCAGCCCAGGGGAGGGGGTGGGGGTGAAGGTGGGGCTTCTGACACTCAATAAGTGGTGACATTTTCATTAATTAAAAATCTTACTGTGATCTGAAACACAAAGGAGACCAGCATCAAAACTAGGTTACAATAAGCACAGGTTCTCAACGGATTCATTCTCTCTCCCATTCACCTAGTTATTTCTACTCAGTGTCAGCAAGGCCCAGGGCTAGGCATGGAGAATCAGAGATAGATGACATAGTCTGTGCCCCTGCGGAGTTCACAGTGCAGTGCAGGGAACAGATACATCAACAGAATGTCTCACTGAAGAATGGGGAGTGCTACCAAAGGGAAGCACAGGGGGCTGTGGGCACAAAGGGGGCACCTCACGCAACTGGGAAAGTTAGGGAAGGCTTTCTGGCAATGGTACCCCAAATGACATCCCCACTCACATGCACAATTCCAGAGATTCTACTAGAAGGCTGTCAAGAGCCATGCCTTCTGGCTGCACCAGCCTCCCAGAGTCCCCTGCTGCCCGATGCAGTGTCTGCAGAGCCAAACGCATCTTCCGCCACGCCTCATCCTCATCCGGCGCTGCATCCGACCCTCCAAGACTCCTGCAGGAGCCTGCCTTCCTTGGCAGGCTCAGCCAAAAGACCAACTCAAAACTCTTTTGTCAGAGCAAGCTTAGGGCGAGCCACCCAGCCCCATGTGCCACAACCCTCCCGGAGCAACTGAGGCTCATGTCACCCCGGGCTCTCAGTGAACACTGGCAGGGTACCTCCCATTATCTCCTTTGCTCAAAAGAAAATGACCTTCTTCCAGGTGGCAAGCTGGAGTCTTTGCGGAATCCTGCTACTACTGCTCACTCTCAGCAGGATTCACCAAACCCAGGGATCTGAGGGTTGAGATGGGCCACCTTGTGGGTCGGGGTATAGAGGGAAGAAAGGGAAGGCTTTGCTAGGTTTTCACTTCGGTGCAGGAGCCCCACTAAATAGTCTTCGGGGCTGCCTGACAGTCTGCTCCAACTGCTATGTTGGGCAGGGAGAGGAGGGAGGCCACAAGAGACATACGCTGGGGGCACACAGCTGCTGAGGGGGCAGTGGCTGCAGGCAGTGAAGGGAAAGGGTGGGGCCGTTCCCAGGGTGGGGGGAGAGGGAAGAGGCTGTAGCCTTCCAGGCCACAGCGCCCCAGGCTGCTCTGTGGGTAGGTGGTGGAGCAGGTGGGCCCAGGGGGAGAAGGGCAGAGAGCTGGGCTGTGGCCTCAGGATCAGAGCCCAGTCCCAGTGTGGGTGGGTATGGGACCACAAAGTCTAGCCCCTGCTCCAGCCCGGAGGCGGCGGGAGAGGGCAGGCAGCCTGGTCACAGGACAGGACGGGCCATGCTCCGGCTTGGAGAGAAGGGTCCAGCCTCCACTCCCGCCTCGGGGGAGAAAGCCTCAGCCCCAGCCGGTGGAAGATGGTTCATCCCCAAGCTCACCCCGGCCCCGCTCCCGGGAGGTGAAAGTGCCGGAACGGCCGGACTCGCCTCGCTCGCTCCTACCTGTGGTCCGGGAGCCAACTTGGGCTCGTCCTCCTCCCTGGGGCCGTGGCGGTCCGGCTCCGCGGGCGCCTCCGGGGGCCCTGCACCCGCTCCGGCTTCCAGGCTCGGCGGCGGCGGGGGTTCGGGAGCCTGGGGCTTCTGTTGCCCCGCGGCTCGCACCCGCTCGCGCCGACCCGCGCCGCCGCTCGGCCTGCTCCGCCTCCGAGTCATGCCGCTGCTCGCGCCGATCCCTCGCTCCACACGCGTCGTCGCCGCCGCCGCCGCCGCTCCCCTCGCAGGACAACAGCCAATATGGCGGCGCCCGGCTCCCCCCTCTGCTGCTGCCAGCAGGTCATAGGGCGCGGCGGCCGCGCCGCCGCACTAGCCCCCGAGGCTGTCTGCGCCATTTTGAATAAGGTCACCACCTGAAGTTCTGTAAGAGTGAGAAACTGGTGGACTCCCGGGATGCGACCTGTGCCAGGGAAGGGTGGTTGCTGTGGTAACCGTGCTGTACCGCCCCGGGCCTGTAATAACTGCCTGCTAAATGGATGAGTGAATTAATTATTTTCTAGAGTACTTTCACACCCACCATCTGACTCCTTGCAGAGTCGCTCCTCACACGAGGAGGCAGGTATGGTCGTTCCCATTTTGCAGCGGAGAAAAATCGAGGCCAAAAAAGGCGAAGTGGCTGCTCAACATCAGCCAGCCGGAACTCATGGGCCCGTGGATAGTTTGAGGTGAAAGGGACGAGGGAATGGTCTGGGTCTTTTTGTTTGCAACGTATGGTCAACTAGGAGTCCAGCGTTCGTTACTTGGGATAGCAGAGCTCAGACGCCACTCCTGTCCCCAGTCTGGTGGGGAAAGTGGATAGTTAAATACACAGTTACAACCAGTGTGATGAGATGAAAATGACTGGGGCACATACTAGGTCAGTGTTTTCCCAAAAGTTGTGTGCAGGAGAGGATTTTGAGTGGTACACAAAGGAGCATTTAAAAATGTAATAATTATGTATTTAATTGTTAAAATGAGTTTCCCCTACTTTTTTGAATATATGAGATATGCACATGGTGCACATTTTTAGAAAAAGTTTTGAGTGCAATCTTTGTCATGCCAGGACCAGTGGTACCCTGCAACTATGTAGTGGTTATATGTAGAGTTGCTCTTGGTATCACTAAGAAGACGGAATAATGACATTAGCCTAATTAATGGGAGCAAGGGCTATTTTGAGAAGCAGTGCTACATGGCCTTGGAGCTTCCTTAAGTGCCAGGAACCTAAACGAAAAATACTTCATCTTAGGTGGCCAGGTGGCTCAGTCATTTGAGCGTCTGACTCTTGATTTCTGCTCAGGTCACAGTCCCAGGGTCTGGATCAAGCCCCTGCCTCATGCTCTGCGCTGAATGTGGAGCCTGCTTGGGATTCTCTTTTTCTCTCCTTCTGCCCTTCTCCCTCACTCTCTGCCCCAAAAAAATGAAAAAGAAAAAAGAAAAATACTTCATCTCATTATGGGAATTAGTGCCATCATCAAAGATTTGAAGGATTTCAGGGTGATTCCCACTACATCAACATGACCTCTTAGTTTGGACAGAATAGAAGCTAGATACTCTTTTTCCCCCCCATTTATTTATTTTTATTGTGGCAAAATATGCCCAACATAAAACTTAACGATCTTAGCCATTAAAAAAAATTTTTAAAGTGTTTTATTTTATTTTTGAGAGAGAGAGTGAAACAGGGAGGGCAGAGAAGAGGAGACATAGAATCTGAGGCATGCCGCAGGCTCTGAGCTGTCAGCACAGTGCCAGACACAGGGCTCGAACTCACTGATGGTGAGATCATGACCTGAACTGAAGTTGGACACTTAACCAACTGAGCCACCCAGACACCCCCTAATCTTAGCCATTTTTAAGCATATAGTTCAGTGGTGTTAAGTACATTCATATTGTATGCAACCATTACCACCATCCATCTCCAGAACTCTTTTCATCTTGCAAAACTGAAACTCCATACTTGTTAAATAATTACTCCTTATTCTCCCCTCCCACAGCAGCCCCTGGAAACCACCATTCCACCTTAAAAAAAAAAATCCTTTTTTTCTCACCCCCAGCCTCTGTAGTATACTATCTACTTTCTGTTATGGGTTCAACATAATACTCCACATATAAGTGAGATCATGCAATATTTGTCTTTTTGTGACTGGCTTATTTCACTTTGCAAAACGTCCTTCAGGTTTCATCCATGTTGTTGCAAATGGTAGGATTTTCTCCTCTTCATCCTCCTCCTTCTTCTTTTTAAAGTTTATTTATTGATGAAACTGAAACCTGCTCTGGGGCTGAATCAAGACCATAGAGATCATATTGAGCCAAAATCAAGAGATCAAGAGTTGGGTGCTTAATTGACTCAGACACCCCAGGATGTTTTTCTTTTTTAAGGTTGAATAATATTCCTTTATATATATATATATATACACACACACACACATATATATGTATATATATATATACACACATATATATATGTATGTATGTCTTTTTATACTTTTTTACATGTATTTTTCATGTGCCACATTTTCCTTATTGATGGAGAAGATAGATTGTCTTGAAGAATTACAGAGCATTATGGCAAACTTATTCTGGTAAGGACTCCAGTTGCAGGCACTTTTTCAGAGTGGTCATTCTTGGATCATGTGGGTGCAGTTGTTGGCCTATAATAGACAACTGTAGGTCTAGTAAGTGCTTTTTCTTCTATACCAAACCTCAGGAATAGTTTGTGTTCCTCTGGCAGGGGCAGCAGTAAACCTTTACTGTTTTGCTTCAGGAATATGTCACTTTCTGAACACACTTACTTTACAGGAATTTTTGACCAAATCACCATTCCACTGGCTATCAGGGTAATCTACTGTGACACTGATGACATCATTCTGATGGGCCTTGAGAACAGGAGGTAGGAGATACCCTAGATGACTTGGTAAGCATGATGTGTGTGCTAGAAGGCAGATAATAAATCTCACAAATATACAGTGGTCTGTCCACTCAGTGCACTATCCAGGGGTCTGGGGTGTGTTGAGATATTCCCTATAAAATTAAGGACAAGTTGCTGTACATCACACTCCCTATCACTAATAAAAGAGGTACTATACTTGGTGGGCTTCTTTAGACTTGTGTGGCAAAATATACTGTATTTAGGTATATTACTTTTACTTATTACTGGGTCACTTGAAAGCTGTCAACTTTAGGGGGGACCATACGAAGAGAGAAGGTTTTACTGGATCAGGTTGCAGAGTAAGTAGTTCTGCCTTTGGTTTTTATATTCAGGCATTGAATTTTGGAACAAAGTTATGCCCTCCTTTGGCAAGTAGCATCTCCTTTTGAGATGCTCCTGACTTGCTCCAGGAGTCTGGTGAAACTGGTTGTCTGACCGTGGCATACCAGGTTACCAGGTGACCTAAGGTACCATGTTATCTGATCTACCCAGGCATAAAGTCAGGGGTGGCCAGCAGTACTCTATTACCAAGAGGAGTGGCATATATGGCCTGGGTCCAAGCAAGCCCTAAAGGCACAAGTGCAGTAGGTTGTCTGAGCAAGTTGTTTACATTCCTCTCCTGTTACTGATATTCATGTCTCATTGGGAATTGTTTACGATATAAGTTGACTGAGGAAGAAAAATCTAAAGCCCATTTTATAGATGGCTCTGCACAGTGTGCTGGCTTCACCCAGACTTCCTCCAAGAGAGCCTAAGGGACCTAGGAAAGGGAAATGTGCCCGGAAGCCCTGAAGTACAGACACACTGATTCCTGGGCATTGGATAATGGTTTAGTCTATTGGTCAGAAACTTGAATGGAAACAGACTGAAGGTTAGTGATAGTAAGTTTTGAGCAAGACAAATGTGCATAAACTACCCAGAGTGGCTTCAGAGCATTAAGTGATTTGTGTCTCAGGTGGACATTCACCAAAAGGGCCTCACTATGGAAGAACCTCTTTTACCTGGTGGGCAGTATGACACCTTCTGTGACTATCAGGCAGTCCCCCTTCCTAGCCATTTTGGGATTTTCTCAGTGGGTTTATGACAAAATTGGCCCAGCAACATGGACTGCTCCCTCCCACAGCTAGCCTCACCACTATCAGTGCTGAGTCTGCCAGTCAAGAAACCAGCCTAAGCCCCTGGGGTGGAACCTGACTTTGAGAAGACTGGCTAGCTATCTTCTGGTAGAGATTGCGTTGGATTGTGTGTTAGTTAGGGTTGGCCTCTGGCTGTGACCAACAATCCCAACGTGTTAGGGGTTTAACACCATAATAGTTTAGTTATTTTTCATGTTATAGTCCAATGCCAGTCAAAGGCGATTTGCTTCATGCACTTATTCAGGAATCCAGTCTCCTCCTATCTTGTGGCTGTCCCTTCATCTAGGTTCTCTCCATTCAACTAGAGGATGGGGAAGAAGACAGAGTGAGGGTTGCATGGGATGTTTTTATGAGCAATACCCAGAAATGACTATACATCATTTTCACTTCACGTTCCCTTGGTGAGATGTTAGCCATATGGCTCCACCTGATTCTAATCCATCCCCTCTTCCCAGGCAACCACTGATCTGCTTTCTGTTTCTATGGATATTTTACATTTCATATAGTATGAATTGTTTTGCCTGAGTTCTCTTCCTCAGCATAATTACTTTGTGACTCATCTATGTTGTGGTGTGTAACCATAGCCCATCCATTCTTACTGCTGAGTGGTAGTCCACTGAGTGGAAGTACCATAGTTTGTTTATCCATTCAACAGAAATGAGCTGTCAGGACAAACATTTCTCATACATTAAATTAACTTTTTTGCCGGGCGCCTGGGTGGCTCAGTCAGTTAAGCATCCGACTTCGGCTCAGGTCATGATCTCGCAGTCCGTGAGTTCGAGCCCCGCATCAGGCTCTCTGCTGACAGCTCAGAGCCTGGAGCCTGTTTCAGATTCTGTGTCTCCCTCTCTCTCTGACCTTCCCCCGTTCTTGCTGTCTCTCCCTGTCTCAAAATTAAATAAACGTTAAAAAAAATTTAAATTAACTTTTTTGCTGCTCTGAGAACTGGAAGAAAATATTTTTTTATGTCATATTATATTATGTTATGTTATTTATTTATTTTTAATATAATTTATTGTCAAATTGGTTTCCATACGACACCCAGTGCTCATCCCAACAAGTGCCCTCCTCAATGCCCATCACGCACTTTCCCCTCTCCCCCAACCCCCATCAACCCT